CGGCACCTCTGTTCAACCGGCACCGGCCTCCTGCTTGTCCCTCGCCCCACCATTGGAGGTTGTACTTTCACCCACTATACACTCAATCCCTCCACCTTGCCCCCTCTCTCCCCTTTTTCAAGTCCCACCTGAAAACATTCCTTTTCGACTTTTCGCCCCACCCCAGCTCAGAGTCAGGCTCCACCACTGTTAAACGCTCTCTGATGCTACCCTGCGTGAAGCGCGCTATATAAGTGCAAGTTGTTGTTGTTGTTTATGGGATATTGCTGTGTGCAAATTGATTGACGCATTCACCTACAAACTGCAGGTGAAGTCACTAAACTTCACAGTATATCTTGCAAAGCTCTTTGAGACATCCTCCCGATTATATTTAATTCAATTTGCTTAAAGTGATGTTACTTATTTGCTAAGGATCCCTTGTTATCTGAAGCTTGACTATCTCACTATCAATAAAATATCAAGAACCGTCAATATTTGTGTGTTGTTACAGTACACTCTATCAGTATGAAATAGGTCAGTGACCCAGATATTGTGGGGTAGGAGATAGGAGAGAAAGTGCAGCATAACCTAAAGTGCCTACTGATCTGCCCGTGGTTTTGCTGCAGTCTGTTCTATCCTTGTTCGGCAAGCAAAATGCTATTAGATGTTGCCTGGCACTTGTATTTTCCTTCCACATGGAATCGTTGTGCATTCATGTGTGGCTTGAGGCTGCTATAGTGTGAGCTCAGGTGCTGGGGATATGGCAGGTGGCTGGACCTGACTTGACAGCAATTAAATGTACAAATCTTTGATTAGGCTTCTGGGAATAGTGTCATTAGCAACACTGAATGGGCTTGCAAGCTTACCACTGCCTCATTAACTACAGTGCTCATTTCAGTTTACATGGGCTGAATGCATTGTACACAGAATTAAAACGGGAACATAAGGAAGGAAGGAGCTGAAGTAAGCATTTTCTGGATGGGTAGACATGTCACAGCTATGAACCTGCTGGAAATTCCTGTTTTTGAAGCCCTGCGAAGTGGGAGTTTCTATCAACTCTAATTGCTTCTCATGGCTGCAAATTGTAGAGTTATATTTATTCTCTTACTTTTCTTTGCACTTAACATCACCACTCCCATCACCTCGCGTTGCTCTAATATGACCACTGTGATTTTGGGTGTGCTCCAGGGTATTAAGTGCCGTGACAAAAATAATCCTCACAGTATTACTGGCACCTTGGGCATTTTAAGGAGGGTGTTCCTCATGGTAACCGGGTTGGGACTGTGTTCATGAGAATGTTCCGATTCATGAGGCAAAACAATTGCCTCCAGAGCAAGTGCAGAGCTTGTGACCCAACCTATAATACCTCAATCTCTGTGATTCACACGCAACACTCCTGTTCAATATAATATAATTCTATTTTATGCTGTGCGCAGACTGGCTTCTGTGTTTCACCCACAAACAACAACAAAAGACATTTGTATAGCACCTTTCACATAGGGAAGACGTCCCAAGGTGCCGAATATACAAAATATACAGTCAATTCACTTTCCAGTATATTCTGTGAAGCACTTTGAGAAGTCCCAAGAACATAAGAATTTGTGCTGCAGAAAGTTTCTGCTGCAGAAGGCACTACATAAATGTATGTTGTTGTTGCTCTTTGTAGAAGTTTTGATACTAGAGACTGTGCTATCCAGTTAGGTCAAACTACGGTAACAATTTCTTCAAAAAACATTAACAATAATAATTTGGTTACTCAACCTGCAACTGTTTGTGGGACACTGCTGTCCACAATTGGCTGCTGAGTTTCGTCCACAAAATATACAGTCAATTCACTTTGCATTATATTCTGTGAAGCACTTTGAGATGTCAAGACGTAATAAGGCACTATATCAAATGCAAAGATTATTATTATTATTTGAACACTATATCCCAGCAAGTCACACAGATATGTTTGGTACGAGGCTGGCAACAGTGGCTCTCAAGTTCCTTAAAGAAAGTCATTGAACAGTGTAGAATTTATATAAAAACAAGTTTACATTTGATATAGTATATTATCATAATGAAATGTCTCAAATGGTTTCTATCACGTTCCAATCATTAAAAAGTAATGATTTTGCAATGTGTTTATAATGGGATTTCTTGTAGACATAGGGACAGCTGATCTGCAATAGGAATTTTCATGTGTAGGTGGTATACATGGAACCCTCAGTCTGGTTAGCATACCCTTAAGCATGGTGATGGGTTTCTGCGTGTGTTAGAGACCCAGCTAATCAAACAAATGTAATAATAACAAGCCTTGCATTAATGTTTAGCATCTTATCCCATTGGAAGGACAGCTCAAACGATTCTTCAATTTACTTGGGGAATGTTGGCCAGGACACCAGGAGATACTCACTTGGCTTTTTTTCGAATAGTGCTATAGGCTCTTTAACGTCCACCTGAACAGCAGACAGGACCTTGGTTTATCATTTCATTTGAAGGACATCACTTCCAGCAAAGAAGCTCACCCCAGCACAAAGTCCTGATGAGCTCAAAGTCTCGTCATGAGACTTATACCCACAATTTTTAACTCAGAGGCAAGAGTGCTACCAAATGCACCAAAATACACCAAATTAAATAATGCCACTTTTCTTCAGTGAAACAACTTGTACTGTTATATAATAATAATAATAATAATAATAATAATCCTTGCATTTGATATAGCGCTTTTCACGTCGGGAGGACGTCCCAAAGCGCTTCACAGAACACACTGTAAAGTGAATTGACTGTATATTTGTGGGCGAACGCGGCAGCCAATTGCGCACAGCAATGTCCACAAACAGTCGTAGATTGAAAATGACCAATTTAATTATTGTTTTTGGTTTTGGAGGGATTATTATTAGGCGTGTGGAGTAAGGAAACTTGCCCAAGGTTTCGCCCTCTGCCTGGAATTGAACTCAGGTCTCTCGCTTGCAAAGCGAGTGCTCTAACCACTGAGCTACAGGACTCCACAGAGTGGAGAAAAAAGAATGAAATAAAAAGAATGCTAAAAGAATGAAATAAAGGAACACAACATAGAGTTATATAGGCAGGCAGTGCAATTGAACACAAATATGGTTTACAAAGGAAATATTTATTCACATCAAAATATCATAGCAAACAAAATGATGGAACCCACTTTTCATATAATACACTAACAGATACAGAACTAAACAGAACGTTTAATTGTAAAGCTATGTATTTTTTTAAGGCAAACTTTTTCTGGGCTCTCCAATGCTCCATGCCACATCTTTTTATTTCATCCAATTGCAGGTCATTGCCTCTTACATTCACTTACTCATGTTTTGCTTGGTTAGTCTTGGTGGAGATGCTTCCCTCTTTGATTGTTATATTTGTGCAGCAGTAAATATATTCTAGATGGGAGGTATTAGTACAAACTCAAGTGTTTTTCCAGTTATTAAAAGATAATAGGACAGTGTTGGTAATTTGCCTACTGTTACACAGTGCATTAATCAAGAAGAAACACTTCCCTACTAACATTAACCAGACTATCAGATAAACTTTGCCATGTGTCCAGTTAGTAATGGAAAGAAAGAACTTGCATTTTTATAGTGCCATATTATGTCAAAACGTCACAAAGCGCTTCACAAATAATTGCTGTCAGTGACTGTTTTGTTAGCAAAATCAGCAGCAATTCATGCCACTAAGGCCTCTCAAACAGACATGAGGTGAATGATAATTAACCTAGAGAGCTGTTGGCCAGGACACTGGGAGAAATTCGCTTGTTTTTCACTACAATACAATTTTATACAGTTGACATTTCTATCTACTTTCACATCGGGAGGATTCCAAAAGCACTTCAATAGTGTCATGGGATCATGAACACCTCCTCCAACAAAGTCTCCTCCAACAAAGTCTCCTCCAACAATGTAGAGTCACTCCGGCATTGGACTGCATTGGCAGCCTAGACTATGAGCTCAAGTCCTGAAAAGAACAGAAATGTGTCATCCATAATCTCAGTGAAAACCTTCATACCATTCAGTATTGATGTTACATGCATCTTTATCTCCAGTTTTACACCAGCCCATTTTGTCACGGCAACGTTTTCACTTGAAGAGAGTCACTAGAGAATAGTCTCCTGAATCTTGCCCATAGGACAGAAATCTCTACACGAGGCTGTGGTTGAAGCAGGAAGCACCAATGCATTTAAGTGGAAACAACAACTAGCATTTATACAGCACCCTTCACGCGGGTAACGTTTGATGCATTCGTGAGAGAGAAGGGAATAGAGGGGTTTGAGGGGAGGCCAGGGAGAGGGATTAGGATGGATGTGAGCTCTAGTGGAGTATAAACACTGGCATGAACTAATTGGTCGAATGGTCTGTTTCAGTGCTATAGATTCCATGCATGTATTTAAATACAACCATAGATATTTAAATCACAGAAGGAGACCTTTCAACCCATTGTGCCTGTGCTGGTTCCCTGAAAGAGCTATACGTTAAGCTCCACTCTCTTGCCTGTTCCCCGTACATTGGAATATTTATTCTTTTCAGAGGTTTATTTAATTCCATTACCTTAAAAGCTAATATGGATTCTGCCCAACCTGGTGAACCAAATGTAACCTTGGTTACAGATAGTATTCCACATCTCAACAACCCTCTGTGTGTAAAAATAAATTCTAACCTCACCCTAAATGGAAAGTCTTCTCTTGGAGAAAAGGTGAGCAAAGGAGAACAAAAGGAGACGACAACAGGAATGATTTTCTGGTTCTCACTAATTATGCAAAGTTTGACGGATGAGAAATATATTCTCCACTGGTCCATAAATCTACCACAATACTCACACCAACAAATGATTGAGACTTTAAAGAGTGTCCGAGTTGGTAGCATCAGTACAATCAGTTGCATCAGTACGTTGCGGATTCAAGCTCCATGATCATTACCTCAGTTGATTTTTCAGATAAATGCAAGCGGGCTGGATCAGGGAAGAGGTTGTCCTTAAAAGATGTTAAACTGAGGTCCCATCTCAATCTCCAGATCCGTCATTCATCTCATGGCTTCTTGAAGAATCTATTGAGACAAACGGCTGCTGAGTTTGCGTACACATACAGTCACTATATTTGATGCTAATCACTCGTAAAGCATTTTCACCTGGGAAGACCCTCTAAAATTAGAACTTTAAAAGTGCCCAGCAGGGAAAAAGAGCAATGATCAAAAGCAAACTCTTAAAATATTGTTGTGCTTGCATCTCACGAAAACCTTTAACAGATTACAGTTTAAACTTACCCTGCTCTTTCTTCAAAAGGTGAAACATCCTGTGGTATTATTTTTCATTATCGTTTTGATCTCACTTTTAGTTCTTTGGTTTCTCATCAGTCTGGTGGTTTCAAGCAAGAGGTAAGTGATGAGACCATCTGACTAACGCCAGGGTTTACATTAACGCACAGTTGCAAAATTCACGGACACAGATATATAAAAAGTCACCTTTGACGGTATGGTAAAATACTTAACCAGGTGGTAAAATAAAGACACCAGCACTCTGTAATACAATGACTATAACCAAAGCCTGTCAGTCTTGTGTGTTGGCTTGACTTAGTTGGTTACCCTCTCATCTTTGAGTCAGAAGGTTGTGTTCAATCTCCACATTGGAAATTGGAACCATTATATTGTACGCTGATATTCCAATGCCGAGCTGGGGTGTGCTACATTGTCGGAGGTCCGTCCTTCAGATGAGATGTTAAACTGAGGTCCAGGTGAACATTAAAGAGCCTGGGCGACAATCACCTAATTGGTCACTCATTCCATTGGCTATATGGGGGACATTGCTGTGCGCAAATTGACCGCCGCATTGCCCACAAAATACACCTATTCACACTACTCTGCAGTATATCCTGTAAAGCACTTTGAAACATCGCGATGACATGATAAGGCAACTGCACAGATATTTATTATAAAGCAAAGCCTGAAGGACCCAATTCACCAAAGTAGAGCAGGACCTCAAGGTAGAAGAAACAAGGGCATCTTATTACTTTGGTCAGCTGGGAGTCTAACACATAAGGAAACCCCTCACCAAACTGGTGTATAATCAGCTAAACGTGCATAGAGTGCCATTGAGAACACCATCTCCCAGTGACTGTTCACCCAGTAAGCTGGAGCCTGGCAGATTCAGAAGGCAACAGAGAGCCAAACAGCAGAGCATCTGCTTTAGAGCCTGGTAGAAATCTGCTCAATGTATAATTTCACAACAGATGGTATTGGCCAAGCAATAATTGCTGGACTTTTATCTAGCAATTGAGAAGTTAAGCTGCATGAACGCAGATGTCATTCCTGGTTTCACGCAGCCTGTGCTTGTTGGGAAATAGAGATTACATTTTGTTGCTGAGGTGGCCTTGAAGATGAGATGATGCACTACTAATATGCACCTTTATTCTTTCTATAGATTTACCCAGGCCATCTGGAGTTCCGCCACACACAACACATAACACACTGCACAGCGCAACAACAGCCATGCTAGCCACAAGCTCTGTTGCACCAGGCTGATGCATCTGCATGTTCATTTTACTGGGTCACCACCACATGAGTGTTCAACTGGAACAGAGGATGCAGCACTTCCACTGCTCAAAGGCAAACTTTAGGTCACAAAGATTGCAGCATTAAAAAGCCAATAGACTTTAGATAGATGTCAGTGAGCAGGCCTGCATGGTAATAGTGAGGTTTGGTCAGTGATATTTGTCACGCAAACGGCCATGAAGTAAATGACCAATTTTATCTGGGGGGAGGGGGTTTGTGGGCTCAGACACTGGGAGAAACTTCCTTCTCTTATTGAGTGGTGCCACCTAAACAGGTACAGACGAGATCTCGTGTTTAGTATCTCATCCGAAGGACAGCTTCTCTGACCTCCAGAGTATCAGCTTAAACTGTGCGAAAATTCTCTCCTTTTGATGTATCGCAAGATTTCATGATTGGTTTGGATGAAGAAGGCTCTTTGGCCCTTCCTATTTTATCCCTCCAGAATACCCATCCTATTGCCCCCATCACAACACCAAGCTGCTATTCGAATGAGCCCCGTATCCTGGCCTCAACGTCAATTGGACACAGGTATAACCCCTTCACCTCCAGCACAATGGTTGAGTCCAAAGCTTCTGGTGGTTCCCATTGGACTTGTCATGGTATTAGTATGTTGTTTAGTGATTTTCTGGCTTAACTCAACAACAAAATAGAGTTAAGTTGTTTTTCTGTGAGCCAGTTTCAAGTCCAGTCACCATTACTTTAGGTCAAACCGTTGTCTTGCAGTGGGAGGGGAGGGAGAGAGGTTTCCACCTGTGGCCAATTGATAAAAATAAGACACAGTATCCTCATAACAGAATTTTCACTCCAAGATTTTAAACCTCTATTGATTTTAGAGTCAATATATAGTCAATAAAATGAAGCAGCACAGGTGGACGGGGCCATAAAGAATGCAAATAAAATTGTTGGCTTTATATCCAGAGGAACAGAGTATAGAATTAGGGAAGTGATGTTATGTTTACATAAAATCTTGGTTAGACCACATTTGGAGTACTGTTTGCACTTCCGGTCCCTATACTACAGGAAAAATATGGTAGCATTAGAGTGAGTACAGAATAGCTTTACCGGGATGTTACCATTGATGAGTTAGATGTAGCTGTCAAGAGAAATTGGACAGTTTTTCTCTCTGGAGATACAATTGGGAGGGGACCTAATAGATTGCCGCGTTTTGCCCACAAAACACACAGTTACTACACTTTACAGTGTATCCTGTGAAGCGTTTTGAGGCGTCTCAATGACTTGATAAGGCGCAATATCAAGTGCAAGGATTATTATTATTGTAGAATTGTTTAAGATTATGAATGCTCTTTTCACTTGCTGATGAGTCCAAAACAAGAAGGATTAATAATAATCTTTGCATTATTAATTAATAATCTTTGCGCGTTATCACATCATTGAGACATCTCAAAGCAGTTCACAGAATATATTGTAAAGTGGATTATCTTGTGTATTTTGTTGGTGAAACACGGCAGCCAATTGCGTACAGCAGTGTCCCACAAACAGTTGTGGATTGAGTAACCGCATTTTTAGAGGGAGAGAGGGATTTTTAACCCCGGAAAATCGATCCCTCAATCAACTAACAACTGGGTTCCTACTTGCTGCGAGGTAAACAAAGACCTGTGGAGTAAGGAAAAGACATGTGGAGTCAGTTAAGGTTTCACCCGCCTGGGAATTGATCACCTACCCCTTCTCCCTTACTCGGTGTCCAACCCACTACTGTGAAGCGCTTCGAAACGCTATCCTATATGAAGTGCGCTGTATAAATGTAAGTCTTTTTTTTGTTTTATAACAAACATACAAACACACATGCATACTCACACATAACTATGGAACTGACTAAGAAATACCTCCCTTCTTGTTACAGGCCATGACGCATTTCAAGTGTCTTAGTGCAAAAAGACTGAAAAGGTTCTCGCTACAAACAAACTCATCTGACACCTCAATGTGAAAAGCTCAGCCTTGAATTTCATTGATGAAATTAAACAAGCTGACGCCTTGTTGCCTGCAGCACCTGACATTTAGAAGCAGAGCTTGTCAGCTTTGCAAGCACACTCTCAACTTGCTATATATTGGATTCATTTGTATTCTGATCAATTCCAGTCAATTCACTGTCGTACAGATGCAATACACACAATTCCAGGTGGGGCTATTTTAAATCTTTCCTAAGTCCTCAGGCAACATGTGATGAAAATTCACATTCCAGGAGCTGAGGCTACTCGAGTTCTGAGTACAATCAAAATAATCCTTGTATTTGATATGGTGCATTAACAGATTATCAAGCCCTTTGGAGGATTTTTTTTACAGTAGAGTGTAATGATTGGGTATTTGTAGATGAACGCAGCAGCCAATTTGCACACAGCAATTCCTATAGACGTGCAAAGAGGTGAAAGTTTTTTTCCGCACACTGCTGGCCAGGACACCAGGAGAAATTCCCTTCTCTTTTTGAATAGTGTCAAGGAATCTTTAATGAACACCTAAACAGGCAGATGGCACCTTTGCAAAATGCAGCACATCCCCAGCACTGCCTGGAAGTGGCAATCTCGCGTATCTGAGTTCTGAGTCCCGATGTGGGGCTTGAACCCACTACCTTCTGACTAAGAGGTGAGAATGCTACCAAATGAACCAGGCTGTCACCTCAAATGTAACAAGATAAAGTCAGCTTTGACAGCTTTCCAGGGTCACTACTGCTGTATTATAGTCTCAAGTAGTTATCCTCCATACGGTGTCAGATTGCTCAATTAGTAGCACTCTTGCCTCTAGAGAGAAAGGTTGTGAGTCTCCAAGACTTAAGTTAGAACTTTTAGTTCATAGTCTTCAGTGTGGTGGTGAACGAGTGCTGCATTGTCGTTGGTGTCAAGTGCTCATCTACTAGGTGGAAATTAAAGATAAGGTGGAAATTCATCACAATACTTAAGAGTATCCAAACCAAAATGAGTGTTTCACGTACCTATGCATGGAAGTCGCCCTGTGCCTGGAATGCAATGCACACTCTCTCCCTGGAGAGACGCATCCAGTTTACCTAATTCCAGAGATTAATGTGCCTTTCGGTGAGAGCCAAGGTTAGGAGACAGGACCCCAACATATGCACTGCTGGAGTTCAACCAGCGAAAGCCACAAAGCTTGCCATTGTGAGCAGTGTCTGGCAAGCTCCCCGCTATTTATCCAGCTAGGACCACCTTACCCTTTGGTAGAACACTAGAGCTTTGGCTCGTAGGGGGCCCCCCGACCTCACCTAATTTCTGGGTGTTATAAGCAATCTCACTAAAACTAATAGAAATGGCAGTGGCCCTACCAAAACATTGTGTGCACAGAGAAATGCATTGTGGAGCACGCAGGAAATCATTGTTACATAGGTCTGGTTAGTTGGCAATCTGTCAAGACCTGGGAGGGAGAGAGGAAAGAAACAGCAGGTTGTAAAATGGGAAGTGAACAAAACAACGATAGCAATAGCAGGAAAAACAAGAGTTAGAGATTAAAAAAAAACGTAGGGAATGAAAAAATGAGAATAAGGAATAATGAGAAATGCACAGAAATGAATCCAATTTGATATATATATAGCATTGGGAGGATGTCTCAAAGCGCTTCACACAGCTGACTAGGAGCCCGAGCTGAGGGTAGGGGGAAGCTGAAGAGGGTGGGGAGGGGGGAAAGATGACCAAAAGTCAGATCAAAAAGAAAGGTCCTAAGGTTAAACTTTAAAGGTGGGGAAGGAGAGAGTGAAGCTGAGGGACTGAGATGGCATTCCAGAGAGTGGGAGCAGAATGACTCAGAACTTGCCCACTGGTGATGGGACAGAATCTGGTAGGGAACATGAAGCAGGCCAGTGTTTGCTGAGTGGAGGGAGCAACCAAGGTGGTAGGTTGGGGAGGGTGCGAGGCCATGGAGGGACCCGAATATGAAGGCGAGAATATTGAACTCGATCCACTTTGGGATGGGAAAGAAAGAACTGGTATTTTACATAAGGCAGTTTTTTTTATAATGTGTCAAAACGTCTCAAAGCGTTTCATTCACTTCATGGCTGTTTGTGGGACTTTTCTGTGTGCAAATTGGCTGCCAGATTCTCCTACAGAATACACAGTCACTGTACGTTACAGTAAATCCTGTGAAGCAGTTTGAGATACCCTCCTGACATGAAAGGCTCTATATTAAGGATATAGAGTAATTATTTTCAAGTCTAGTGACTCCATTTGCGTCAGCAATTTTATACACAGCAGAGGTGACCAGTCAATTAACCTGCGGGTATGAACACTTGGAGGAAACACCCTTTGCGTTTTGAACAATGTCATGGAATCTGTAATGTCACCATGAGAACCGGGAGGAGAGACTTTGGTTCAACATTTCAACCGAGCAAGGTATCTCCTATGGTGCAATATTCTCCCAGGATTGCACAGTGAGCACAAGTCCTGGATTGCCACTTCAACCCATAACTGTTTGACCCAGAGGTAGGGGTGGACTGACTATATGGGAAATCGAGAAATTTCCCGAGTGCCCTCGTGAATGGTTCTCAAGTGCCATTGTGGTTGTCTGCCAATACTTACCACCCCAGAGCCCGATATCCGAGTGAGCGACAGCTTGGATCAGCCAATCTTCGTCCAGAGCCTGGCCTCGTTGATGAGTGACAGCTACGATAGTCAATCACTATGGCTACAGATTCCACCCTCCTGTTTAAGCCCCGACAAAGTCAGCGTGAATTGGCGGCCCCATTTTACCTGAAAATCACAAGCCATTTCAGGAACCCAGCCTACCACTGCCCAGAGTAAAGACCGTTACCAACTGAGAAACATGAGTAACGGAAAACTGATAGCGAGAGTTAGAAAAGTGACGGTGACATGAGCTGGAACAATTTCAAAGAAAAGAAAACAATATAAAAAAAGAGAGGGAAACAGAATGCAGAAGTGAGAACATGGAATTAAGTAATAAAACAAATCCTATTTAACCTCAGATCAACTCATACATGTACACAGCCAAGTACAGTAGACCAAAAAGAAACCTGCACAAACACTTCCATTCTTTCCTTTCTTTCTCCTGGTGTTTGTACCCCTTTTCGCACAGGATAATGCACCGGAAAGTCAAGATAAAAATACAAGGAAACCATTGCAGTATATAGGAAAGGTCCAGTCATGAAATGGGAATCACTGCAAATCAGCACTTCCTTTGTTGCCTAGAGACATGTGGAGTAGATTAAAGACCACGGGACAAAAGTACAACATTAGCAAGCCTGAAGCGAGACTGGAGATTGAAAGAGGGTTAAGATTGTTTTTCTCATTTGATCAATGTCTGAAGCACAGTTCCTATAGGTGGCGGCCTGATGTATTGACTGTTACCGAAAGGAATCCTCATTTGCAACTTGGATTCACCATTAAAAATCGCCACATTTTAGACTGCAAGCTCCATTGGGTGGAATGAGTGGAGTCCTGTAGGGTAGTGGTTCGAACACTCGCCTCACAAGGGAGAGGACCTGATTCCCGGCAGGGTGAAATCTTAGGCAAGTTTCCTTACTACAGATGCCTCTGTTTACGTAGGAGTAAATAGGAACTCGATTGTTAGTCTAATGACAGATCACTTTCCGGAGGCAATAATCCCTTCAAAAAATATAATCATAATAATAATTTGGTCACTCAATCCACGACTGTTTGTGGGACTGCTGTGCACAATTGGCTGCCGCGTTTCGTCCACAAAATATAACCAATTCACTTTACAGCATACTCTGAAGCGCTTTGAGACGTCTCGATGATTTGATAAGGTGCTATATCAAATGCAAGGATTATTATTATTTTGTCAGCCAGGAGTCTGACACCTGCTATGCTTAAGAATCTTTGTTCCAGTTACTGAGAACTTATAGCTACTATAAGCTTCCCACTATCATCCTTGCGGTGGGGAGGTAAGTGGGGTCTCCTTGGAGCTGAACTGGCTCCAAGGTGACATGCCTGGCAATGGAATGTCAGAATTGAGCCAGCCCTCTGTGGAGGTCTCAGTAGTCTGGTTCCTGAACCAGTTGGGTCTGCAGTATTCCAGGGCATCCAGCACAGCCAGCCTGGCTCATCGGTAGGACTCGGAAGGGCAATCCAGTCACTGGGGGCAGGGAGTCATGCCACTCAGCTCCTGTTACCCCTGCAAGCCATGCTAATCGCTAGGGTGGTCCTAGCCGGACAGCAATATCAATGGCAAGCTATGCAGTTTTAGCTGGTTAAACTCCAACGCACCCTCTGGGATCCCCAAGCCTTGGCTCTTGCCAACCTGCACCTAAAACTTTCCGGAATTAGGTAAGCAGGATGCATTCCTCCAGGGAGAGAGTGCACATTCCATTCCAACAATCTATCTCTGGGATTTCCATGTGTAGATGGGAGGCATGGAAATCCTAGCTTGGTTTGGACACTCTTAAGCATGGTGAGTTCTATGGGCTTTATAAAACATTCAATACAGTACCATTTACATTGGTATTATGCCTTTCACATCAGGAGGTCCTCATAAAGTGGTATAAACTGCTAGCTGGACTTCCAAGTGGGTAGGAGCTGAAGAGGGGAAAGATGACTGAAAGCCTTTGCAATCACACCTCGTGGTAAAATCGGCAAGTCTGGTGACCGACTTTGAAAGTGGGGAGGGAGAGGTCGAGTCATAGGAAAATGGAACAGGAGAAGGTCATTCAGCTCCTTGAGCCCATTCCTCCATTCTATTAGATCATGGCTGATCTACACTTCAACTCCAATTACTCCAATTGTGGAGTTCTGTAGATCAGTGGTTAGAGCACTCGCCTCGCAAACGTGAGATCTGGATTCTTTTCCCACAGGGCAAAATGTTGGGCAAGTTTCCTTAGTCCACATGTCTCTGTTTACCTCGCAGCAAATAGGAACCCGGTTGTTAGTCGATTGGCGAATCACTTTTCTGGGGATAATAATCCCTCAAAAAAAACAATAATAATTTGGTCACTCAGTGCATGACTGTTTGTGGGACACTGCTGTGTGCAATTGGCTGCCACATTTCTCCCACAAATATACAGCCAATTCATTTTATAGCATATTCTGTGAAGCGCTTTGAGACATCTAGAAGACGTGAAAAGCGCTATATTAAGTACAAGGATTATTATTATATGTATTACCCATCCTTATCCCCATATCTCATAACACCCTTAACTAACAAAGATGTATCCACTTCAATTTTGAAGATTTGAATGGATCCAGCACCCACAGCCATTTGGGGAGAGGGAGTTCCAGATTTCACTGCGCTTTGCGTGAAAGAACGCTTCCTGATTTCACTCCTAAATATTAACCTGTCCGCTCTCTCCCCTCAGCAGACTCTAGTCTGCTCCACGTCCCTCACACGGCCCGCCCCACCATCGGCGGTCAGGCCTTCAGCCTCTCCAGCCCCACATTTTGGAACTCCATCCGACATTCCCTTCACCTCCCTCCCTTACCTCCTTTAAGGCACATCTCAAGACCCGTGTCTTCAGCCACCCTCCTACCCTCCCTGCCCTCCACCCTCTCCTGACCCTCATTCCCCCACCCCACCCCCCGCTCGGGTCCAAATCCTCGACTGTCCAGCGATTGTCCTCCCATCAAGAAAGGTGCTACACAAATGTGTTTTATTTTGGTTTGTAAATGGCCTAGCTCAAATTTTAAGGCACTCTATGGCCAAAGAGCTAGTGAACAGATGGCTACTTTTATACCTCAGCAACACCAGGAGAAGCAGCAACATTTAGCTTCAAGATCCAAACGTTACAATGCTGATTGAATGGCAATCGTGGACGTCATGTTTAAAATAATCTGACAGATTGCAGATATGACCTGACCTTTAGTCCTATCTTTCCATTGTTCGTCTTATCCTCAATTTGGATAGACAAATGCAGAAGTGGATCTGTTATCTTAACATTTTTGCAAAAGGATGAATATTTTTAATGGGTTCTGCATTAATAGCTAATCCCAGAGCATCTTATCCGTCCCAATTTAAGTAATGTGTAACTAATAATGGAAATCTTGTTGAAGGATAGTACATTATTATGCTTCTCTGCTGTACAATGTAACAGTTAGCTACTATTTTCAGTAGGGTCAATATTTGCTACTATTTTCCCACTATCCTATCCATTTCTATGTGGACATTCCAAGCTTGCCCCCATTTTTCCATCATTGGACATCTTAATCAGATTTAATTTAAACTCAGGGCTGTCGAAAGACTGCAGTATGTCCAGAGCAAACGAATGAGGTGGAGTTCTGTAGCGTATTGGTTAGAGCACTCGCTTCACAAACAAGAGGACCCGGGTTTGATTCCTGGGCTGGGCGAAACCTTGGTTAGTTTCCTTACTCCACACGCCTCTATTTACCTCACAGTAAGTAGGAACCTGGTTATTAGTCAATTGGTGGATCACTTTCCGGGGATAATAATCCCTTCAAATAAATAAATTGGTCATTCAATCCACAACTGTTTGTGGGACACTGCTGTACGCAATTGGCTGCCGTGTTTTGCCACAAAATATAATCAATTCACTTTACAGTATATTCTATGAACTGCTTTGAGATGTCTCGACAACGTGATAAGGCGCCCTCTACAATATACCCACACACCCTACTTCCACAATACAACCCCTCCATCCTCCACAATACACACATATACCCTCCATAATACACACCTACCCTCCCAACTTTGATACACACACACATCCTCTACAACATACACTCACACTCATCCTCTGCAACTTACATCTACACCCACTGTCTACAATCTACGTCCACACCTATTAATTGCAATTAAATTTGAAAGTCTGTAATTAGGATGTTATGTCCATCTGATAAGGAATATAGCTGTGAAAACCTATCAATTGGACATCAAGTACCAGGCTTATATTTGTAGTCTGATAAGGAATGTTTCACAAAGGCAAGGCCTTTGCACCTTGATAAGTGGGATATCTTTGTCCGTAATGGATTGGGAGATTAGAGCATTATGATTTCTGTCTCAAGCTCATATTTCACTGAAACCGTCACCTCAAATCTAACAGCAGAATGAAATACAAGTTAACAGTGTGAAACTGAGAAATAATGCTCCAAATGTACTTTGATCTCAATAGAGTGCCAGACTATAACCTCATACTCTAGTGTGGTGGGAGAGTACTTCAACCCTCAGATGAGATGTTAGACTGAGCTTCCATCTGTCTGTTCAAATGGATGTTAAAGATTCCATGGCACTATTCGAAAAGAGAAGGGAGTTTCTCCCAGTGTCCTGGCCAACAATCCCCCAGATAAAATTTGTTATTCACTTCATGACTGTTTGTGGGATATTGCTGGGCGCAAATTGGCTGCTGCGTTCACCTACAAAATATAGTTAGTGTCTTTTACAGTATCTCCTATGAGGTCCTTTGAGATGTCCTCCTGATGTGAAAGGAGTATGTCAAATGCAAAGATTATTAATAATAAGTATAATTATTATTTTACCAGTCATATTATTATTATTCTTGGAGGTGCTGACCCTCAGTGAATCCTTAAACTCATCTACCATGACACAATTTGTAAAGTGAAGGAAATTTCTCCTGATGAATTGGTGCTTCACTTCATGTGGCACATAACTGTGTGCAAATTGTCTGCCACATCCACCTATGACTGGCCAGAC